ACGGCCTTGGCTGTTTCGGATATGTACATAGTAGCGGGTGAATGCAAGTACAGCTGGGCGGCCTGGTTCAGAGCGTTGAATCTTGATCACTCCCGTCTAGCGCTTTATGCAGTTTAGAGCAGTCGCTGGGTCGTCCTTCCAAGGCACACTGCTACCGCTGCTATTAATAGCTCTGTTTCAAAAATTCTATTACGTTACAAAACATTTATGTTTATAATCGTTTTATGAGATTATGTTTCACTAATCTCTTTGTTAAGGAAGATGTGAAAGAAAGATTAGTCTATCTTTTGGGAAAATGATTTTTGCTTCATTACGTGTTTCAGCCACTTCTACACACATTATCTCTGATCACCATGACCCGAAGAGGAAGCCGGAAAGGCATGGTAGTGGTAAGGAACAGTTTATCTAAGTCGTTGAATATGTATGCTATGTGCCAAAATAAGAAGAAAGAAGCAAATGAAGCACACAACATGTACAGAGGATGACATTGTTCTTTTCAAAATAAGTGAGTTTGCACCTCCGCTAACTCGCGCGTTTCGATTATACTGTACACAACCAAGTAGTACAGATTTAAAGTAAAGCAGTAGATAATTTCATAAAACGACTATAAACATATTTGGGTTTGTCTGGATTTGTTTAAAGTGCCCTTTTTTGAAAAAATTTTGAATTTTGAGCTGAGCATAGCCTAATGCAGAGGAATGTGTGGGGAATGTGTTCCCCATTTCGTTGTTTATTTAACTGTAGATCAAATTGGATTTGATTATACTCGTATTCGCAAGTGCAATTGCAAACAAGTGCAGTGGCAAATAAAGTGCTACTTTTCTACTATAGTGACTATCCGCAATATTTTAAGTCTTATACCAACTTTATTTTACATTCACATCAGCATTTCGCGCGGCTGTATGATAATTATGGTCCATTATCAAGCGCCAACACGTTTGCTCAAGAGGATTTGATGGACTACGTATCCAAAAATCGAAATAGAAGCCGACATTTTAATGAGTTAATGGCTCATTCCTATAATATTGCCGTACATGTACGAAATACCTGCCAATATAACACTCATCACAATTTAGACATGAGATTTTATAAACTAATTTCTTTTCTTTTTTCGATTTATCAGGTTCTTTTTGAGCGTAATTCAATGTAATTATGTAATTACGCCATTTTTATTTTCGATTCCTGGCGATACATCATCATGATTTAGTTTAACAACCTGCGGTTTGTTAACAAACCAATTTTCTGAGCTTGATAATTGCGCATAGACGCTTGCGGTAGTGTTTCTCATTGGCTACTTAAACTGTTGAAAACGCTATACTTGATGGTTTGGCAATACTTGCATTTTCTGGACTTACTGTAAGCAGACCGAGATTCTTCTCAGTTGATGAGTACACTATCTAAAGTTTATCATTCGATTTGATTTTCACAATAGCTTGACTGACAAGTACAGCAGTACTACCATCGACTACGGTCTGTACTGTATTACTATTCGGAATATCTTCTACATTTAAACGTACTCATAAATGAACACCGTCTGATACATTGTTATTTCCTCCAACTTGCGCTGCTGCCAATATAAAATGCAGGACAGTTTCATTGTAGACGACCGTAGCCTTATATTCTCCAGTTCGAGTAATACCGCTAGCGAGTAACACATCATTAAGTGTCACAAAATTGGAGTTGTTAACCGTAGTTGCTAGCTGTGTTTGTGAACTGGAAAGTTGAGCACAAGGAATTTCTGCTAAACCACCATTCAATCGAATAAACGACAGGAAAAGCAGCTGATAAAACTAAAACTGATGTACTACCATCGGTGATGGTTTAAATAAGATCCCGAACCGAATGCTGAACCTACAACATATGAATGAACTTGGTACTATTGAAAGTGCGAATTTATTCATTCATCGCGATGAATTAATCTTAATTTATATTCCGGGGATTGATTGTAAATGGTCCCCGAAATATAAATTAAGCTTAATTAGAACACTAGTCATTCGAATTTTACACATATGTTTCTGCTTTACTGAACATTTCAAACACATTCTCTAAAAGAAAAGTTGTTTAGCAACTTGTCAGCTAACAGTGTCTATGTCGATACTGTTGAAGCAAATAGTGGAACAATTTCTCCCGATTGTGCGACGATTTTCAGTAGATCAGTAAATTGAATTCATGTCCGGATTCAATTCTGAGAGGACACCTTGGAGAATGAAAATCCTTCTGCGTATCATCCAAATGCTGTTATCAATGCTATCAACTGGAAAATCTCATGAGAATTAATGTTTATCAAATGGTAAGATAATACGTGATTTTATTACAAAGGAAGCACTGCTCATCCGATATTCTCCCAACTTCGCAAATTAAGATTAAATTAACTGGAGCGGATCCATGTTTACTTCTTATACTCGTTTGAAGTACGATAGTAGTTGCACGATATACTTATGTATTTTCTGGAAAAAGTCCCCTTTTAGCTTTTGAGATATATGGCTCACGATATTGATGAATAACGTTTAATAAATCATACTTTATGCTTTTATATTCCGCCGCTAGATAAACTCTTTTTGACTACCATGACTTTCCGGCTTTCTCTTCGGGTCATGATACTCAGAGATACTGCGTGTTCAAATTTAACTCATTAATTAAAATAAAAAACTAAAGCCACGACGAAAGTCTAATTATTTTTATTTTAATTCTTGCTGTCAGCAGAATATGGACTAAATTCATCGTGAGTACCACCGCTTCTTCTGAAAATGGGAGAAATGGTGTCTCGATAAAAGTAACCTCTATAAAAATAAAATAAAACCTTTTCCTTTTCTTACTCATGTCGTTCTTTTATATGCGATATATCAAAATAAAGTACAATGAAGAAACTCACTATTGAAACATACGTAGGGCGGCGACGGTGAGGAACTTAGGCTCGCTCCTTTTACTATAGAATCTGCGTTCAGTGTACATTATAATCATGAAAAACTAATCATAGAAATCTATGGTTTCGGAAAATGTATGTGAAACTTTTGCCACAAAGATACACGCTCACCTCTGACCTTCGCTATTTCATTTGTTTTGCGCTCTTATTCACTTTCTTTATCTTTATTTTGATTTCATGTCTCATTGTCACGTAAAGATAAAATGGACGATTAGTGTTTGAGAAACCGCATTTAAAACAGTAATGTGTGAATAGTCAGAAGATCACCCGTTAATAAAAATAGAGGGTAGGGTAGGGCACACTCTCTAAGAAAAATGGGTTTATTACGAAACCTAAAAGGGTATAGAGAAGTGCAACCATTTCGAAACCGTTTTTGGTTTGGAATGAATCCCTTTTGGGTTTCGTAATAAACCCATTTTTCTTAGAGAGCAGGTTGAGACGTTTGTCATAAACTGGGCCCTACAAGATAAAGAGCGCTTAGTATTGCGAGACATCAACTACTATACTATTCAAAAAATAATGCCCTTTTATTTTTCGAATAACTTTTGATAGAAAGTAGGTAAAGAGATGCGGTTTTCGCCGTTCGAGAGCGAACACCTTAAGGCATTTTGAGAAATAAAAATCGGATAAGGTTTACCCCCTGCAGGTGGTAAGCCATTCACATCTTTGAAAGACAAGGTTGGAAAAGAACGAAAAAAAAGATTCTTTTCCCGTTCTTTTATAGATTCGAACCAGCAAACCTTTCTCTACAAAACTCCAGAGAGCTCATTTTTTTCTGTTCTCCCGTTCTCGATAGGAAGCGATACTCCGAGGACGACCCTAACTCACGCTTTTTTCACTTATAATATCGAACCAACGCTTCCCGAATAGGTTTTCGACTATGCTGATTCACGTGGCAATGTTTATCTTTACTTTGAAACGATTGTTGATCCCGATACAGCACTGAGTACAATTCGAACCGAGAATTTATTCATAACATAACGATAACGCTCTTCAAAACGTCTGAACAGCTCTGTAAATTGCTTTGTTGAATTATTTTCAGTGAGATCGTCTATACTGTTTTAGTCTTTATTACCCGGAAATGTACTCATTGGTGTATGAATCGTACTATTTTGAGGAAGATCATCAAATACATTCTCCCTCTTTCCCTTCTCAGCTACACTGACCAAAGGATATAGTTTATGTTGACATAGAACATCGTTCTTCATTCGAATTTTATTTTATCATCGTTTCAATGCGGGGTGCTCGCGGTTTTCGAGATGGTATCCTTGGGGCTTCGATATTGTCAATAAAAGATGACAGATTTACGTGCAAAGCTTTATTATATTGTGTTGATGTTAATATAGGTTCCAGTAGTGGTGGTGGCGGAGGAGGAGGTTTCTTCCGTTTTCCTTCATTGAACAGAGGTTGATGAATTTCATCGGAGTTTGCTTCGTTTTGCAAGCGAGGTGTTTGTTCGTGTATTCCACTCATAGATGAACTAGATGAGTTTTTTAATTGTTCAACCATCGTATTGGAAAAGTTGTCGTTTTTGATAATACAATGTTCAAGTTTCTGATACGTTGCATGTTCGAATGAATCTTGTCCAAATAACGGTGTATTATCAAATGATTTTGATACATTGTTGCTGTTAACACTTATTAATGTTGCATATGGCACATCGATATTATCGACCAAATTGGATATGTTATTATTAGCTGCTAGACTTACATACAGAGATCCATTTGATGTAGTATTTTTGTGACTGTTAATATAATGTGAGGATGATGTACGATGCCGTTTTCGACGTCTACTTCGTTTGTTGTATTCGTTTGGTCTAATTTTGATTGGTGCAAGTGTCTTACCATTGTACGACGTTGATATTCCTTTCGATAAAGAATTAGTAGTAGGTGGTGGAGGTAATGGTGGTGAGGGAAATCTTTCTGTTAAATTACTATTATTATCATACGGATCATGAACAGTAATTGTTAAGTTATTCAGTTTAGAATTTAATTCATTTTCTTCTTCAACCGGTGGCGCTGGTGGAAAGTCAAACTCTGCTAATGCCATATTGTCAAAGGACTCTTCTAGTGATATTTCTTCTGCCACACAATTCATTTTATTGAACAAAAAAGATTCAAAGTCACACATGATCATCGTCCAATAGTTTCTGTCTGGAATGATAAATGTTAAAATGAAAAGGTGTTCTTCTACATTAACAGTAAAATAAGAAATTGTGCATAGTTAAACGGCCGATAGACAATATTGTTTATCATTCTATCATAGTTGACAAGTGTTCGATTAGCGTTGTGAATTCTTTTTCTTCTTTCTTTTTTTTTATCGTTCAGAAATCAAACGTATCGAAGAAAAAGAGAAAAGATGAGCAAATATTATCGGATTATTGTTCAGTTATGTATTACCCTCAATTATTTACACTCATTTTAATCTTCATATACTACTAGGATGGACAAAGTTCGATTATTATTTTTCGTTCACACAGCTTTCAACAATTTGAGTGAATCGGAATATCTCTCTCATCAAAACCAGCAGACTTTGTATGATCTACAATACTAAACAAGCAAGTTTTTTTATAAGTACTGCAACAAGTTTATCAATTATTTTTCTTCTCTTCTTACCCACAGATAGAGTTTATATTCTTTGATAAATAATATATAATTTTTACTCATGAATATATTTTTAAATATATTTATTTCATATTTTAATTTATCAATTCGAGTATGATCACCGAAAAATGAAAAAAAAAACAATTGGAAAAAATTTATCCAAATAGATGGATGTGGAAAGTAGAAAAATGAAAAAAGGAGACAATAGATCGTTTCAATTAAAATTAAAAAATTTGTATAAATCATATGGAAACACTACATTGATCATCATTTAACTCCAATAAGCGAAAGCAAACATAAAGACGTATTTAAAAGAAAAAATTTATATATAATCAAAAACTAAATAATATTATTTAATTTGTTTCAAAAGAAATCTATGGTGCAAGAGCAAACGAAAAATTTAACATTTAACGTCTATAAAATTAGTTTGCTGAAAAGCGATTATGAATAATATTTGATAGAATAGTATGTACAATTATAAAAATGATGGATAAACTGTTCAATGATCATGTACATCATTTTTAGAGCAATGTTTTAAATGACGAAGTTGAACAATCTAAAACTAAATAATATAATAATCATCTATGACTAAACGTTTCTTTATAATTGATTGCTAAAAAAAAAAGTGTACCATCGTCTGAATAGAGATACTATTTCTTTAAATATAACCCATTTGACAGATTCATTGCATATTGGAGCAGATAATCCTTTGTTTACCAGCGTTCTGAATTCAGGACGCTTTTTTTCAGTTTCCCGATTTCCGAATAACTCTCGAACGCAAGAAGATATCAAGATGCGAAGATGTAGTTTTGTCTATTGATCTCTAATATGTTTTTAATTTTGCTTGCAAGTACATGGAAAGTGAGAAAGACGTAAAATAAATGAAATGACTTGGGGTTAGGGTGAGTGTGAATTCTTCTGTGGTGACATAAAACCAGAACATAATTTCAAAAACTGGACATTAACATTATCGATTCCTACAGATTATTTATTTTTAACCTGCTTTATCATATCGTTTACATCAGCTACAGAAAATGAAATTGTACTTAGAAAACGCTGATTACTATATTTTGTAAATTGTTAGTCGGATTAGTAGATGCAGAAGAAGATTTCCTATAACAATTGACGAAAACTTCAAAAATATTTCTACCTTATCATAGTCTGTACATGCTTATGTATTTTCACTATTTAGTCGACCTGGATAATCAGAAAAAGCCTTTTGAAACTTGTGTAAGTTTGACTAAAATTTCTTTGTGTTAGGGAACTGTGGTTTAATTTTGGAGAAGTGTCGATGTTTATTGTTGCACAAAGCTGCCAAAACTTTATTCCATATCTTTTTATATTCAACAGTTTTCTTCAAAGTTTGTTGACTTTGTAATTTACGAAATTTTTGTTTTTTTCTCTGATTAATTTTTGTTACCGTTCAAAACTCTAAAAACTGGTTTACTTTTTAGTGAAGAAATAATTAAAAATATTTTATCAAAAATACTGTGCGTATCGATGTACAAAACATCACTAATTTGCTAATATTGCCACCGAAACAAGTCCAATAGGCGTTGAAATTTAATATCGGGCACCAGTTCAAAAGTAAACCGATGGTAGTGTCAAAAAACCATCAAAATCACAAATGAAATCATCGAAACCTATGTTTCCAGTTAATTTAGTATTGAAAAATTGATTAACAAAAACCAAATTCAGTTTTTCCGACTGACCACATGCCGAAGTGTAGTCTAGAAAAAGAGCTTTTGAATGATATATAACCGTTGCGATAAGTTGTGAAACCTTTAATTCTCATTTCTCCAGTCCAATGGTCGCTGAAATGGGGTTACCCTGTTGCATAGGCAGAGATTGTACTGGATTAACTCGAAACATCGGTATCCATACGAACCAACTCCTTATCGATGGGTTATAATCAAAGTTGCTGGTGGATTTTGATGATTCCATTTGTGATTCTGATGATTTTTTTGACACTACCATCGTTGTACTTTTTGTTCTCTGGTTATTCTGAATATGGCATCCACTTTTCACGATGCGCTTTTTCTCAGCCGCTTTTCTGAAAAGAACCAAATGTAGAGACCAGATTTTCCCCTTGAAATAAAGTTCTGGTTCATTTCTTTTGTAGAGGATGTCAACTGGCATTAAATTCCCATGCCTGTGGACTTGTTTTAGTGATGATATTAGCAAATTAATGATGTTTGTACATCAATACGCGCTATCTATGCTGATGCAATTCATATTGGAGAGCATTTTGGAAAAGTTTGAGCGTATTTCGATTGATGCTAAGAGGTGCGCATTTATTTTACTAAACTATAACTGTTCGGAGAACACATTGCAGAAAAGCTTATTTTATTTCTCAAAGCTGACGAATCAAAATTGAAAATTTTTTCACTAGTCGATAACAGAGAATGCGGGATTCAGAATGAAGAACTGGTTGTACCAATTAGTCGGCTGAATCTTTGGATAAAAATAAATTTTTTACCTTAGAATAGTATTTTCAGGCTAACTTTGGAACAAAACTTTTACGCTATCAAATAGAGCACGTTTCGAAGTATATTACTCACTATCTGAATCATTGAAAACTCGATTTTCATTTTTTCAACGGATTGTACGCCTGGATGCGCGATCTCGTAATAAGTGTTTATTGTGTTCAGAATTGAGAAATATTCGGTTTTCTATTTATTAGTAATAGAATAAATAGAAAACCGACAGAATAATCAATAATTAGAAAATAACAGAAGAAATAGAAAAAACATCCATGTCAAAACAGATGGGGTGGTAAATAAGGTATATACTGTAATTTGCACTGATTGCGCGGCACTACGAACTGTTTGATAATTTAAATCTTAGTTGTAAACTTTTCCAGAATACAATCTGAAAGTTGGGACGTTTAGCCACATATCCGATCATTGTTGCAATCTTTAATAGTTGATTTTCATCAATGAGATAGTACATATTTCGAAAATGAAATAGTAGTACATAGATCAGGTAAAAGTCGTTTTTTTACCCAACGATTCAACTTTTTCTAACTTTTAAGTCAACATTCTTGATCACTGTGAATTTCTGAATCGAGTCCACGTACTTCAAAGACTTACTGCGAGTTTTTTTATTGTCTAATTCAAAAATACGGTCTTCCCTTTGACCCTAAATATCCCCAAGTTCTCTTTGCATATTCCTATACAGTAACTACTTGACTAGAGGGTCATCGGAATACTGACGAAGTCAAAAAACCATCGAGGAAAGCTCGGAGAACCTGACTCATAGGAAATATTTTCACTTTCAACAGGAAAAGAACAAGAAAATTGGGATGAAATCAATCCTATCCGCCTTGCTTTTCCAACCAAGTACTGTCTCTGACAATGACTAGCATCCGTCTCTTAGAACTTTCGTCTAACGTTATTCCTATTTCATTTCAATAAAACATCAAATATTTTCTTCAACAAACGCCATTTATTTTTAAACAAAAGAAGGGAAAGGATGAAAAAAAGATCAAATGGAAGAAAGAGAAGAAAAGTAAAACACGAAGAAGCGTAAGATTTTGTTCTTTATTTGTATTTTTAGTTATACAGGTATTACTAAGACTTCTATTTATCAGATGTTATAAGTTACTAAACGTTTATTTTCTTTTGTAACATTCTTGTTTATGCAAAATAAAGTTGAACTTGAACTACTATCGGCGTCTGAAGTCAAGACACACGGTTATTTTTTTGAATAACATTAGATAGGAGTGAGATAGAGACATGCGGCGTTCACCAACATGTTACTAAGACCTTAAGTCATGTTTTTGTAAGCAGAAACTTGTTTCAAAACTTTCTGGAAGTCCGATTTTCCAAAGAATCTTTGGAAAATCAGCTATCATCGTGCGGACACAGCTCGCTTTTCCCGAGTCCGTATCTATCTTTGAGCAGACATCTCAAAGAATCTCGAAATTCCACGGAATATAGGTAATCGACTACGCTGAATATAGTGGCTATACTTTTTTTTGTAGAAATGAAAATAAGTTCGTCAGAGACATTTTTGTGAAAAACCGGTTTTTCGCCTGTTACTAACAAAAATTAAAATCCTTATACCAAAATTGTCTCTAGCGAAGTTATTTTCGCTTCTACACAAAAAAAAGTGTTGCCACTAGGAATGTACCAAATCTTGCAACTATGTCTCAAAGGTTGCATATTTTTGATATTTAAAACCCTAAACTTTTGTGTTAGACATAACCAGTTTTATCTGTTCTATCCGAAACTAGTGTTGAATTTTATCAAATTTAAAAATAAGCCGCTGGATTTGGTAGAGTTTGGT